CTAACTTCTCTCACCTCTACTTCTAAGCCTTTTGTGTGGTCTCCAGAGGCAGAGGCAGCCTTCCGGGCACTCAAGAAGAGGTTCTCTGAGGCCCCGGTACTCTGCAGGCCTGACACTACGCAGCAGTTCACCTTGGAGGTGGATGCCTCGGACACTGGGGTGGGTGCGGTCCTCTCACAGGTGTCTCCTGCTGATCACAAGCTCCATCCCTGTGCTTTTTTTTCCCGGCGTTTAACACCTACTGAGAGCAGGTATGATGTGGGAGACCGGGAATTACTGGCCATTAAACTGGCCCTGGAGGAGTGGAGGCACTGGTTGGAGGGGGCAGAACATCCGTTTGTGATTTGGACAGACCACAAGAACCTGATATACCTCAAGGAGGCTAAGAGACTTAACCCTCGACAATACCGTTGGTCCTTGTTTTTCTCTCGTTTTAATTTTGTGTTGTCTTATCGCCCAGGGTCTAAGAACACTAAGCCCGACGCTCTCTCCCGCCAGTATGCCTCAGAGGATGAGTCCGCGCCTGAAACCATTCTGCCTCCGTCCTGCATTGTGGCAGGGGTCACCTGGGCAATAAGGGACCAGGTCCTGGAGGCTCTTAAGGCCGATCCCGGCCCAGGTAACGGACCATCCAATAAACTGTTTGTCCCTCAGACTCTGCGAGGAAGAGTCATCCATTGGGCTCACTCTGGGAAGTTCTCCATACACCCTGGGGTGGGTAGGACCTTGGCACTAATCAAGCGTTCTTTCTGGTGGCCCGCCATCTATAAGGACGTTAAGGAGTACGTGTCAGCTTGCCATGTTTGTGCCCAACAGAAAGGTACCAATCGACCACCAGCTGGATTATTGTGTTCTCTGCCTGTTCCGTCTCGCCCGTGGTCACACATCGCAATAGACTTTGTTTGTGGATTACCTGCCTCCCACGGTTTTACTACTATTTTGACTATTGTAGACAGGTTCTCTAAGGCCTGTCACCTGGTCCCTTTAAAGACTCTTCCTTCCTCAGTCGTGACCGCCCAGCTCCTGGTCAAGCATGTGTTTCGGCTCCATGGCATACCGACTGAGATCCTCTCGGATCGCGGCCCCCAGTTCGTGTCCAAGGTTTGGAAGGAGTTCGCCACTGTCCTGGGGGCCCGGGTGGCTTTAACCTCGGGATACCACCCCCAAACCAACGGCCAGTGCGAGCGCATGAATCAGGAGCTGGGCGCCATGCTGCGTTGTGTTTGTGCCACAAACCCCTCTGCCTGGAGTGACCATCTCGCTTGGGTGGAGTACGCCCACAATAGCCACATCTCCACTGCCACAGGTCAGTCTCCGTTTGAGGTCTCGGTTGGATATCAACCCTCCTTGTTCCCGCTCCAAACAGGTCCCACAACTTCCACGCCCCAGTTTCTTCGCCGGGCCCGCCGTGTGTGGTCGGCCACAAAGTCTGCCCTCCTGCGCACCGCTGAGAAGAATCAACGGCTGGCAGACCGACATCGTCGCCCAGCGCCGACTTACTCCCCGGGGCAGATGGTCTGGTTGTCCTCCAAGGACATACCCCTCAAGGCGACATCTAGGAAGTTCGCTCCGAGGTACCTGGGTCCGTTCAAGGTGGTGGCAGTTCCGAGCCCGATGACCGTTCGTCTGGACCTTCCGCAATCGCTGAAGGCCCACCCAGTGTTCCATGTGTCTCTGGTCAAGCCCGTGGTTTCCAGCCCTCTGTGTCCGGTGCCTGCTCCGCCTCCGCCTGCCCGGCTCTACAAGGGGGGGCTTGTTTATAGGGTCCGGCGGATCCTCGACTCACGCCCCCGGGGACGAGGGGTGCAGTACTTGGTGGACTGGGAAGGTTATGGTCCTGAGGAGCGGTCCTGGATTCCCCGGTCCTACATTGAAGACCCCTCCCTCATCACCGACTTTGAGGCTTCCCGGTCCGCTGCGAGGACGCCGAGGGGCGTCCGTTGAGGGGGGGGTGGTGTCATGTTCCTGAGCCGAGGTGAGCACTCTCCTCATTAACCTTCTCTGAGGTAATCATCCACAGGTGAAGAGCAAAGGGTGCTGCAGGTGTGCCAGATCTCCAATCTGGAGGTCAGGTATAAAAGGAGGATGGAGACACCACACTGCGCCGGATGATTGCACCTGTTAGGTAGCCCAGCCTCTCGACTTCGTTTTGCTTGTTAAGAAATTTGACATTGGATTACTGGCTCCGAACCTTGGACTGTTTTGCTGGATTATGCCTTTGGATTTTCCCTGAACTCTGTTTGTTTGCTCTGCTCAGGACACAACTCGTCACACTTCTCTCGCCGCTTGAACCTCAGATTTCCGGAACCACGTCCCATCCTCCTCTACGCCTGCCTGTTTATCTCCGCTGCCTCACCCGCCTCAGCTCGCTGAATTCCACCTGCGCTCACCTTGGCTACCCTCTTTCCCACACGCCGTGGACTACTGAATGGACTAACGCCAACGGCACACCTTCACTGGACTTACCAGTGCACTTTTTGTTCCATCTTAGGAAATAAAGAACTTTTCTTTTTACCCACCTATCGACGTTGTGTTGATTCTGCATGTCTTGGGTTAAACACCTCCCGCGAGTCATGACAACTTTAAATAACACTTTCAAAATTAATTGGGCTAAACATTTTCTTAAAAACCCCACCTCTATCTGGAGCCTTATACCATATCATATTTTCTCTCATTTTGGTAGCTTTAATTTTATTTTAAATTGTAATTACAATGTTGAGGAACTCCCTATAAAACTTTCATCCTTCCATAAGTAAGTCCTCTTAGCGTGGACCCTCATTTATAAACACAACTTCTCACCTCACAAATATCTTATCTGGAACAACAGAGATATTTTATTTAAAAATAAATAACTTTTCCTGGAAACTTGGGTCCAGAATGGGATCCTATTGGTGGCTGAGCTGGTTAATAAAGAGGGACAACTACTTACTTACAACGACTTTATTGCCCTATATAATTTCCCAATCAGGGTTCAGGAATTCTCAGTGGTGCTTGGTACCATACCCTTAGCGACTTCAATGTTATATAAAAACACTGACAGCTCAATATCTACCTCAGTCACTCTCCCTGATCCAGTTGAGTCACCAATAGGAAAAATCTGCTTTTTTCTAGAACTTGGTAACAGCAATAAGAGAATACATAGTTTATTCCAGAAAGATATTGTCTCTCTCCCGTATATACAGTGAATCCTCTAATATTGGCCTGTATTCAACTAACGGCCGGGTATCACATTTTGGCCGGAGTCGGCGGAGGTGAATAATGGCCGGTATTTTATTGTGGCCAGATGGAATGTGGTAACAAGCAAGTACGGGGGGCGATTGTGTCATCCGTCTCACTTTTGATTTGCCAGTGATAGACCGCGAGGGTAACTTTAACCATGCGGAGACGAAGAGGAGGCAAAAATTTGATATCAAGTTCAAAGAGAACGTGCTGATTATGCTGCAGAACACTCTGGGGAGCAGTAGCAGGGGTTGTATGAACTAGTCGACTTCACTATAGTGACTTTTTATGCCTGTCATCGACTAGTCGCTGTCACGTGATAATGACCGGCAAGATGCACCCCTTGGAAAAGACAGCAGCCTGCTGTCAGCAGGTGACAAGCTCCTGCGTGTCGGTACTGACACGCAATCGTTCATATCAGCTCATTTCCTTTAATGTTTTCTGTCTTTTATTTGCGCCTGATGCGTTTTGCTGCTGTGGAGCGGGGCGCATCACCTTGTCCTCTGACGCACCGATCACTGATGCGGCCGGCAAGCAGCGAGCACTCCGCTGTTTTGCGGTCGGTAGATCTTTTAGAACTGCAGTTCAAAGGTAACTCAAAAGGTGAATATAAATGAACCCAGGTAGCAGTTTTTCTTTAGGATTGAGAGGAGATGCAGGAAGATAATAAACAGGCAGGACAGAAAAATAGTCAAATAAAAACAAGTTAGTTTTTGTACCTGGTGGTTGCAACAAACAAACACCATTGAAGGTAATCAGAAGTGAGGAACAGAAAATGAAATAATTATTTTAATGTTTAGAGCAGCAGGAACTCCGAGAGGCTGCAGGCGCATCAGTGAGTTTGCGGCCTCTGCGCAGGGGGAGGGGGGAGAGGGCTGAAGCAGAATCTACCGTTGTTAAAATAAATGTGTTTAACTTTGAAAATGTGGGCGCAATTTTAATTGTCAAAAACTCCAGCGAACCATTAGTTCATTTTGCTCAAATAGAATTAGAGGCCTGCCTCTAATTCTGGTCCTCCTTCCAATAAAGGCCTGGAGCTTGATGAGCTTGAGTAATATACAGACCCAGGCATGTATTAGAGGATTTACGGTAATATCTTATTGGAACCGATATGTTCCAGATATCAAGTGGAAGACAGTCTGGATGATCCCCCAGAAATATTTGATTGTAAATAAGGTGAAAGAAGTCTCATTTAAACTTCCACATAAATGTTATCCAGCCAGTCATTACATGGTAAAATTTAAAAGGGACACAAATACTAATTGTACTTTCTGTGGGAATCATCCAGAAACTGTGACACATCTTTTTTTGTGCTGTTCTTTTACACAAAGATTCTGGAAGGAATTTAGCAGGTTTTGTTACTGTCCATATTTTAAGGGAGTTTTCTTTACGATGGGAAAATGTTTTATTCTGTTTTTTTAAGTTCCCCATGAAGAATGATAAATGTTTTTTATGATAAATCTGCTAAGACTTTTAGCTAAATTCTTTATTCATAAATGTAAGTTTACCAACAAAACACCATATTTCTGTCATTTTTTTAAGGATGTGGAATTGTACATAACATCAATATCAGAACCCACCAACTGTTATTTTTTATTAACAAAACAGTGATCTCTTTGTAAAGCAATGTGAAATAATGTTATTGTAGGAAACACACTGCATAAAAACGTTTTTGTAAATTAGAAACTATTTTAAAAATGTGTTTGGTCTTAATGTGGTGGGTAAAAAACATTCTAGATTCAATGTTTTGGTCTGCAAAAACTCCTCTCACATGAAAACTGTTAAATGTTTTATACATTTATTGTAGATTTAAACTTGCATGTTACAAAAGCCAAAACACAAAACCTAACAGAAATGCTCAGTGCTCCAAATTAGACTGTTACAGAAAATGTCTACTTCCCAGAACTCTGACCAAAATCTCCAAATATTTAAAGCAAATTACAAACAATGTCGTGGCGAAGAAGATTTAAAAAATCAGCAACTTGAAAGACAACAGTGGGACTATAACTTATTTTATTGATAAAAGAAAATCTAGGAAAACTATTTTGGAGTAAATTTTATCTAAACAAAAAAAAAAAGCAAAATGTGCTACTGCAGAAAATGTAGAAATGATTTAGGTTTGCATTTACTAACTTATATAAAAACTTTTAAAAAACCATTCATTTGCCTTTTGTAACATCCATTTTAAAATCAATTTTTAAAAATACCGCAAATTAAGCTAACCTATAAGAAATGCATTGAGCATATAAAAAACAACTTTGATTGTTTGGGAGAACTGCAACTACTACTGTACGTGAAAAATAAAAGTACAGTATAAATATCTGCAACTCACAGATTATTTCAAAGTCACTCTTAAAACATTTCAAATGTGTTACAGATGGCAGAATACACAAGCACTGAAATACCATCAGTTTAGTTTTTCAAGCTATTCATACTCCAAAGCTCTAACATCACCGTAGATGATCTGCACCTCAGCCGGGTTTTCACCTCTTCCTAGTCTCCTGCCAGCTTCATTTCTTATGAAATTTGGCACAGAATAAACCAAAGTATCTTCATTTGTCTGTAGAAAATGAGGAATCATTAACAAGGTGAATGATTATTAACAAATGCAGCATGCATCTTACTCACCGGCTGAATTCGTTCAGCAGCAACTGCCTCAGAATCGACAGCAACTTGTTAAGTGTGAAACCACAAAACAACAATGAGCAAATATACTGCAATTAAAAATAAGAAAATAGCAATTGCACAAGAGAAGCTTTAAATACCATTTATCCCAAGCTGTAATTTCTTGATTTTGCAAAATAGAATGACAGTAACAACCAGGCTTGCAGACAAAGCAGCACCCAATAGAAAGAAAAGGACTTTAGTCCCAAAAAAATCAGAGGATGATGCTAAAAAAAGTTGATAAAAACAGTTAATGTTAGAATTTAAAACACAATGAAACCATGTCAATAAAATATATCAAAAGGTGAAAATATTCAGGCATTTACCCAGAAGGAGTTTACCTTCATTCTCCAGTTGTGTCTCTTTTCCAAACAGAATATGTCCACGTGTGACCACGGCACAGTAAGAAGCTCCACCATCAGCGGGGCTGATTTTGCTCTTTGAGAAGTTGTGAACACATTTCTGTGAAGCTTGTTCTTCAGGACTCCTCTCACAATTTTCACCAGTTCCACAAAGACACATCACACTGGGAGTTCCATTAGTATCGTCTCTGAGCCAGTAAACTGTATAATTATCTGGACACATCTGAGCATCAGCGAGGGCTGAACACTGTCGAGTCACAGAGTCTCCTGGATGAGCTGCAGCAGATGGAAACGTGTAAATGACAGTGATGAGTAGTCTAATGACAAGCCAAATTTTATGAGCAACATTTTATACCAAATTGAAAACAAAGCTTTTGAACCCCAAACTCCTGCATATATAATTCTTCACATTTAAAATACATGGCTGATAAAATTACCTTTGACTCTGATGAAAGTGATATTCAAAATCATCTTCTTTAGCTCATGTACTTCATCGCAGTAATAAAAGGCAGAATCACTCAGCTTTATTTGCCTTAGATGCAGAACAAATGCCCCAGGTTCCTGATAAGTTGTGACACCAGGATGCGGAATAATGCTGCTGGTATCAAACGTGTAAGTTGCTGCTAAAACTTCAGGCAGTTTTCCGGGAACAAGTTTCATCCAGAATAAGTATCCTGACTTACTGGCCAGTCGGCTACATTTTAGAATGATGCTTTCTCCAACAGCAACCGTCTTTGTTATAAAGTCTTTGTGCTCTGTGCATCCTGAAATAAAAACACAAAAATATGTATTTTGTTAGTTTCTTAGAACTTATTGTAAATTTTTTAAATTATTGAAACATTATTGAATACGTTATCAATAAAACTCACCCACAACGGTGGTGAATACAAGCATAACAGAAATGATGATCATGGTCCTGATAATATACTAGATATATGTGTTGATTATGATCTAACTGCCGACTGAATAATTTTAATGTAATTTTCATCAAGTGATGAGACAAACTTAAATGGGAGGAGCCTATTTTCATGAAGTTTAATTGGCCCATTGTGTTGGCTTCTTGGTGTTTGACCACAGTGGAAAGTTTTTTCATAGATTTTCCTGTGTGTATTATTGGCAACATCAGTGGTTCTAACACAAAATCACATGTAAACACATTTCTTTGCTGTGAACAACTTTGTTTCAGTTTCTTGTTTTCAGGTTGGAAGACACAACTGAGGCCATTGGCTATAACACATGTTAGCTTTAGGTATCAATCAGGTACTAAATGTCAAATAACACTAATAAATAAATAAAGCTATGCATTAGCAATCTCTAGACACACACACACACACACACACACACACACACACACACACACACACACACACACACACACACACACGTATATTATTTTTTTACAATCTCTTTTTTATTGAATAGAAAAATTAAGGGAAATTATTAAAATCAATTACTGCTTAAAAGCATTCTGTTCCTCGTAGTTTTGTCCCCCAATTCATTTTTATTGACATTAAAGGACATTATTGAGGTTGTTTATATTTTATTTTTAGACAGTTTCAAAAATAACGAGGATCAACCCTCTATGTGTCACATCCTTCCTGGTTAGTCCAGTGATCATCACATCTGAGCTTTAGTATCATTTCCTTCCAATTGTCTCAGGAAACAAAAGCATTTACAAGAACACTACCTTTTTTCACTTTGTGCTGCTGCAACTTGGTGTGAAGCTTTTGTTTTGGTTTTGTTTTTACTGTTAACGCCTCCCCGTTCCATTAACCTGGTTGTGATTTCAATGAGCGACTACAAGACAAAAAGCTTGCTTGGTGCAGCTTCAGGAAAGATGACCTTGGGAGCTCCTGCCTGTTTGATGAGGCCTTTGAAATGGTTAGTTTTATTTTAAAATACTCCAGAATCAGTGTTCACTCTCCATTTTATGTTGCAGTTGCACAAGCTTGGTTGTAAAATGAAATGGAGATGATGACATGAAGAACAGTTTATTGGTCATCCCAACCAGCCACACCTTTCTCTGTGTAGTGCCTTTTGTAAACATTTTTTTAGATTGGGGAGGTTGTAGGGAAAAACTGTTTCACCTAGTTTTCTCATGTTTATCGTATCTATCTCCTCTGAGCAGCAGTAGATCAGGAGGTTGGGTGGGTTGTCCAGTAATTGGAAGGTTGCCGGTTTGATCCCGGCCCCGGACAGAGAATGCCCTCTACCGTTGCATCTTATGCTGCTAAATGGGCAGCTTTCCAGAAATGGTGCACAGAGCAGAATGTTCAAGCGCTCTCCTGCCAGCTGGCGGATGTCCTATCGTTTCTGCAGATACTGATGGACAGGGGCCTCGCATTCAGCACTATTAAAACATATGCTGCAGCTATCTCATCCTGTCACCAGGGCTTTGGAGATAGATCTGTTTTCAATCATCCCCTCACAAAACGTTTTCTAAAAGGTGTCAGAAGGAACAGACCTGTGTCCCGCCCACTATTTCCCCAGTGGGACCTAACGGTGGTTCTGCGCGGCTTATCTGAAGCCCCATTTGAACCCTTGGACCAGGTCTCACTCAAGTTCCTCTCACTCAAAACTGCCTTGCTGCTGGCACTGGCATCAGTCAAGAGGGTGAGCGAACTAACCGCCCTCTCAGTGGCTCCCGCATGCCTCAGGATCCGGGAAGATGGCGGGTCTGCTGTTTTATGCCCCAACCCAGCCTTTGTGCCCAAAAACATTAATACTTCCTTCAAATCCAGGTCAATTTCATTGGCTGGACTTTTTCCTCCTCCCCATAATTCTGACGAGGAGGTGGCTTCCCATCTTCTCTGCCCGGTGCGCGCGCTCGCACGATATGTGTCACGCACTTCAGGGATTCGCCGCTCAAAAAGCCCCGTTTGTGCACTACAGGGAGTCTTCCCTTGAGCAAGCGCTGTCGACCCAGCGTCTTTCACACTGGCTATGTGACGCCATTTCACTCGCTTACACATCATCAGGGCGGGATCCTCCTGAGACACTCAGGGCTCACTCAGCCAGAGGGATTTCCTCTCCTATGGCACTCAACAGTGGTGTGTCGATGGAAGACATTTGTCAGGCTGCTTCATGGGCTTCCCCATGTTCCTTTACTCGTTATTATTTACGAGATGTGTCTTCAGGATCCATCACTCGTAAAATGTCAGAGATGTCAGTGTGTGTGTGTGAATGCTTTCAGGACATTCAGTTAATAGGATTAAAGTAATGAAATATAAAATTTCCATAACACAATGTAATTAGGAAAAGGAGGCATACCTCCAATTTTGTTTTCTTTCTTTCCTTATAAGTGGAGGGGAAGGATTGGAGTCGATATATACCTGGGGGTGACAGATCCCTCCGCCCCCCACCCTATCTGAGCACCTGGGGCCACTGATGTCAACTGAGAACTGCAGGTGTGTAATATAAACACGAATATATAATAAACATAATATGCTTGTTTGTTTTAACCAGAGAAGTGCAGAACTACATTCAGATGAGCTGAAGAGAGCCTGTCTGTGACCTCCCAGGATGCTCAGAGTCTTGAACCTCAGCTTGATCTATGTATTTAAACATCCTATCATAATGACCCCCCCCCACACACACACACACACACACACACACACACACACACACACACACACACACACACACACACACACACACACACACACACACACACACACACACACACACACACACACACACAGTGGATTCAAATGGATGTATGTGAACTGAAACTCTTCAGATTAATTTATCTTTACACAAAGAGAAATGATTACCTTTTGCTGTTTAAACTTCACTTTGCAGCACGGACAGGCTTTGGACTGGCTGTTGGCCGAGAGGGGCGGGGTCTGTCCATTTCTAAACGTAAGTGGACAATGTTGTACCTATATTCCGAGTAATACGGATCCTGATGGTGCGTTTACTGACAGCATGAGAAAGTTGAAACTTTTAAAGGTAGAGCTGAAGGAGAATGCAGGTATGGAAAGCTGGTCCTTAGACTTCTTAGCCCTCAAATTGGGTAATTGGGGAGCTATCTTTGTAAAGGCAGGAATTAGTGCAATACTACTACTAATTCTGATTTTTCTATTGGTATGTTGCATCCTACCTGCTGTGAGGAGACTGGGAGCGAACTCTGGCTGCTCAAATGAACCTTGCTGCTTTGTCTCAATACGCGCAAATGGAAATGGCTGCAAAGGACTTGACACAGTTTCCAATGTGTCTGTAGAATGAGACGGCTGATGAGATGGCTGAGGAGTAGTTATTGCGTCTCGTAAGGAATGTTGATGTTAATACATGCACTCGACTAAGGAATCGGCCTCAAAGTCCTCTTCCAGCAACAAGACCCCTGCAGCAGTCATCTATAAAACTGAACTTGACTCTTTTGTTTTTCTTCACTCCATTTTTTCAACTCTGCAAATGGGACTCTAACTCCATTCTTTATTTTGGTTGAGCAGTTGTGTTATTACATTAAGTATATTCATTACGCTCACATTTATGTCTTCTGTAGGTTTAGTCACTCAGTCATAGAGTCGTATCCACATCACTCACTTATTTCATATAATTTCGCATTTTTAAATGCATATTCACATACAGTTACTGGTTGAACGTTGCTAAGGGTAATCAGTTATACTCATAATTTTTTATTCACTGTTGAAAGGCTTAATTTGTTCATTTTCTCTTATGTGTGTTCTTTTGTTGTTCAATGTTGCCTAATGTCTGCCATATACTTTGGCTAGCCTGGGATGCTCACTCTGTGCTTCATGTGATCGTCCTGTTTGGGCCAGGTGGTCAAGGAGGAATTTTTCCTCTTAACAACAGCGGACAGGTTTTTGCCTTCTTACAGTGTGTGCGTACAAGGCCTTCAGATGAACTTCATGGGAAATCAGGACCATAAACACACAATAAAACTACAAGATGTTCTCACACATCCTTTTCACGGTCCTAACACACACCTCAGAGAGACTTTTTGCCACGCCCACACATACCACAACAAGTCTTATTGTTGTCCAATTCAACTATTTGAAATGACTGGTGCAAATATGTTAAAGGTGCATTATGTAGGAGTATAGTGAGAATTTTACAGTGAGAAAATCCCAGTTGCACACATACGAGCATGTTTATGAGCTGGCGTAACCTTTACTTCAAGTAAATTGTACCGTATTTTCTGGACTATAAGCCGCTACTTTTTTCCCAAGCTTTGAACCATGGGGCTTATGATAAGGTGCGGCTTTACTGAAGATTTTCCTTCACCTGCCAGGGGGCGCTTTAGCAGAAAGTGAAACAGGTGGAAGTCAAAAGTGGGAATCGAAGAATGTGCTCATTTTAATTTAGCACATGCAAGCAGCCGGCACGAGGAAGAATTATTTTCAAATCCATACCCCCTCATCATGGAAACTACATGTATGAGTTCATATGATGCCGCATTTAAGTTGAAGGCCATCGATCTGGCAGTAAAGGAGGGAAACAGTGCTGCCGCACATAAGCTTTGCATGAATGAATCCATGGTTCGGCGCTGGAGACGCCAGCGGGAAGAACTCATTCAAGCCAGCTTCACCCGGGGATGATGACAGCAACACGGACAGCGACACTGACATCGCCACAGAAAAGGTATGTGACGAAGCTCTTCTGAGGCTGTTCAACTCCGACACTGAAGAAGAGGACTTTAATGCTTTATGTAAACTTATTGACGCAAGTGTGTGTGTATGTATGTTTGTAATAGAGAGTAAAGGCCAGTGCTTAGGTTTTGTATTACTCAGATTTTATTATAAATATTTATTAAAATTAATAAGTTATGATTCTGTAGAGATTTGTGAGTAAAATAAATGAGAATCCTATTTGGCACTGAGCAAAGTTTATTAATCAGAGTAAACTTTGTGTCTTAGAGATGTGACACAGTCTCTGCAACCCAGTGGCCAAATGCCGGTGGGTGAGAGTCTAGCGGGTGACCATGTGCAATCTTAA